GATGGTGCTGATGCTGATGATGAGGAGGAGGAGGAGGAGGAGGAGAGGAGAGGAGAGACGGACGAGGAGAAGGAGGAGGAGGAGGAGGAGCAGGAGGAGCAGGATGAGGGGGAGGGGGTGGAGCAGCAGCAGCAGCAGCAGGAGCAGCAGCATGAGCAGCAGCATGCGCCGAAGGACGAACACAGGCCAAGCACGAGGAGGAGGAGGAGGAGGAGGAGGAGGAGGAGGAGCAGGAGCACGAGGATGAGGAGGATGAGGAGGAGGAGTCAAGCACGAGGATGAAGAAAGGGAGGAGGAGGAGGCGGAGGAGGAGGAGGAGGAGAAGGATGAGGAGGAGGAGGAGTCAAGCACGAGGAGGAGGAAAGGGAGAAGGAGGAGGAGGAGGAGGACCAGTGCAAACCCAAGAGTCATCATCGATGTTGGAGTAAACGCTTTCTCCAAGCTCCCTCTTCATAGGCGCCTACATTGGGTCAATTCCACAGAGGGAACTGCTTCGTTGGAAGACAGCCGTTTGTTGACCCTTAAGCATGTTAAGCCGTTGTTCTCAGGATTCCAACGCCACGGGTCAACCTGACTGCTGCGTCTTGACGATCCTGAGTCGTACCAGAACGAAATTCTTGGGACTTCAGCACCTCGAATCAACATAACTGCTGCACCCTTATATCCCGGAATCCTGCCAACACACCATGTCTGGCACGCTGATCATGGCAATCCGTGCAACCCTGGTATTTTTCAAAAAGAATCTGCGCGACGCTACGGCGAGCACCACATTTTGAAAAGAAACAGCCCTCAACCTGTAAAACTCTTGAAGTTTTTCATATGGAACGTGCGCGGAGCTGAGGCGAGAGTCACATTTTGAAAACGGTTCGCCCTCAATCCGTGAAGCTCTTGCAATTATTACAAACGGATGTGCGCGGCGCTACGGCGAGAGCCACTTTTGGAACATCACCCGCCCTCCATCTGTGAAGCTTCTGCCAGTATTTAAGCTTCAGGGTCATAAGAAATGTGAACATTTTCAGGCGAAACGCTCGGCCCGCCCTAAATCTGGCCTCGGTGTGCGACAGGGAGAAGTTATAAGGAAAGGGCATGGAGGAGGATGAGGAGGAGGTCGGAGGAGGAGGAGGAGGAGGATGAGGAGGAGGGGAGGAGGAGGAGGACGAAGAGGAGGAGGAGGAGGAGGAGGAGGAGGAGCAAGAGGAGGACGAGGAAGAGGAGGAGGAGGAGGAGGAGGAGGAGGAGGAGGAGGACGAGAAGAGGAGGACAAGAGAAAGGAGGAGGAGGAGGAGGAGGAGGGAGGAGGAGGAGGAGGATTAGGAAGAGGAGGAGGAAGAGGACCAGTGTAAGCCCAAGAGTCATCAGCGATGTTGAAATAAACGCTCCCTCCAAGCTCCCTCTTCATAGGCCCCTGCAACGGGCCATTTCCACTGAGGGAACTGCTTCGTTGGAAGACAACCGTTTGAAGACCTTGAAGCATGCCGAAACATTGTTACGGGATGTCCACGCCACGGATCAACCTGACTGCTGCGCCCTGACGATCTGGAATCGTGCCAGAACGCCATTTTTGGGACTTCAGCACAGCGAGCCAACATAACTGTTGCACCCGCATAGGCTTGAATCTTTACAAAGCACCATTTTTGGTATGTTGATCATGGCTCCCGTGAAACCTTTGCAACTTGTTACACCGAATGTGCGCGGCACTAAAGCGAGAGCCACGTTTTGAAAAGGTGCCGCCCTCAATCCGTTAAATTTTTGCAAATTGTTAGCTCGAATGTGCGCGGCGCTAAGGCGAGAGCCACATTTTGAAAACGACCCGTCCTCAATCCGTGAAGCGCTTGCGTTTTTCCAAACGAATGTGCGCGGCGCTAAGGCGAGAGCCACATTTTGAAAACGACCCGCCCTCAATCCGTGAAGCTCTTGCATTTGTTCAAACGGATGTGCGCGGCGCTAAAGCGAGAACCACATGTTGAAAACGACCCGCCCTCACTCCGTGAAAATTTTGCATTTTTTCCATCGAATATGCGCGAGGCTGAGGCAAGAGCCACATTTCGAGAACGACCCGCCCTCAATCCGTGAAGCTCTTGCATGTTGTTCAAACGGATGTGCGCGGCGCCACGGCGAGAACCACATTTTGAAAACCACCCACCCTCCATCTGTGAAACGGTTGTCGTTTTAAGCTTCAGAGTCATAAGTGGTGAAGAAGTCTCAGGCGAAGCGCCCGGGCCGCCCTGAAAACTAACCTCGGGGTGCGACAGGGGGAAGTTCTTTATAAGGAAAAGGAGCGGATGAGGAAGAGGAGGAGGAGGAGAAGGAGGAGGAGGAGGAGGAGGAGGAGGAGGAGGAGGAGGAAGAGCTGCTGCTCTTGCTACTGCCCGTGCCCCTGGATTAGCGCTGCTCTGGACGCCTTTAAATCATCAAGCAAACAGCGCACCCTAAGCAATGACCAGCAGCACGGGCGCTCTGACCACTGGAATTCGTGGACGGTCGTGCATGGGTCAGCCCAAAGTCTCTATTATAATGCAGCGTCAGCTACAACGCTGGGATCAGCGCGTGCGAGAAGGGCGAGCAGTGGCACTGGGCTCTGGCGCTGCTGAGCGAGATGTGGAAGGCGAAGCTGGAGCCCAGCGTCATTTCAGATACATCGAATCAGTGCCCGCGAGATTTCGCTGCCGCAGCTCGCCCCGGGGGCGGCTCACGGCTGGGGCGCTCCTGCACAGTCCACGGCGCTCCTGGGGCGGTCCTGGACGGCCTTGGACGCTCGCTAGAAGGCTTCAAGACGCGCAACGACGGCTCAGATACGCTCAAGAGAGCGCCCGGACGGTCCCAGAGAACCCGACGCGAGCCTCAAAATGGCCTAAGACGGCCTCAAGACCAGCCGAGAGGCCTCCCAGGGTGGCCCCAGAGGACCCCGACGACGGCCATACAAGGCCAAACTCGCGGATTATCCGTAGTTTTCGAAGGATTTCCAGGTGCTCCCCGTTTCGCCCCAAGAACGGCTCGAGGCGGCTCGCAGCGCCTCGTAGATCGCCCCATCAGTGCCCTTCAGGCTCCCAAGAGAGGCACCAGACGGCTCAAAAGGGCCCCCAAGTGGCCCCAATATCCCCATGTGCCTTGTCCCCACGGACCCCTTGAGAGCCCCAGGGGCGCCCCAGGAAGGCTCCGAGGCGATTCCAAGATAGGCTTCTTGGGCTGTCCTCCAGAAGGGGCTCTGGGGACAGCCCGGGACGGGCCCCAGAGGCGCCCAAAATACAGCAAGAGTCCAGAGGCCCCAGACAGGCTCGCAGGAGGTTCCAATGTGCCCCCCGACACGGTCCAGGAGACACTCAAACTATCCCAAGCGTGGCCCCCGAGGCCCCGGACAGGCCCCCTGGGAGGCCCCGAATGTCGGGGAGGCGATGCGGGGCCCCATGGCGAGCGCGCGCCCCAGCCAGAACGCCACGGCGGAGCACCCGTGCCCGGCCATGGTCGAGGATCGGGGCGCCCCGCTCCCAGCCCGACGGCAAGCGGCTCGGGAGTAGCCCCGCCCATCCCCAGCGGACCAGCGCTCTTCCGTGGCGGTCTCGTCGCTCGTCGCCTCACTTCGGGGGCGGAAAAGAGGGGGGTGATGACTAGGGGGGGGTGGATATCATGGCGTGGGCCATGATATTTCCCCAGATCTCATGGCGCCTTTTCTTGTTTCATTACGTCCCTGGCCCCCCCGCTGGGCCGCGCACATGCCGCCAGTCATGATTTGCACCCCCCCCTCTTGGACACCCCTCTCTTGGCCGCTCCCGACCAGCGGACCAGTGCTCTTCCGTGGCGGTCTCGTCGCTCGTCGCCTCACTGCAAGACGCCCGCACGCAGCTGGAAGCGGGCCTCCAGAGCGGGGAGGTCGTCGCGAGAGCGCCCGTCACACAGGGGGTCGGTCGGGCCGCGTTCGAGGCGAGGGGAGCGAGACTCCGCGCCTCCCGGGGCGCTCATTCTCTTCTCCCTCCTCTTCCTCCTCCTCCTCCTCCTCCTCCTCCTCCTCCTCTTCCTCCTCCTCGTGCCGTTCCTCCACTCCGCTGCTTGCCCGTCTCGCGCCACCGGAAAACGAGTTTCCTGGCCCTCTTCACCGAGCAGCGGGGAGGGTTGCACAGACTCGCGTCGCGCCGACGCGGTGGCGACCTCAGCGCAGGCATCAAGGGCTCAGCGCTGACACTGGTCCAGACTTGGCCGACGTCGAACGATCTCACGATTCAAGCGCTGCCGATCGTGCAGGGTTGAGCGTTTCACGCGGTGTCAAGAGCAACAGCACAGCTGGTCACGATGGGGGCCCACCGTATTTCCTCCGCGGAGTCGCTGCCGCGGCACGCTCAGGCGCTCCGGTGTCCTCCACCTGCACTTTGTTCCTCCTCCCCCGCCCTCTCCACGAGCTCCACGAGCTGTTCGGCTTCGGCTGACACTTACGGCCTGCGGGTCCCGGGTCCAGCAAGCCGTGGATCTAATCCACGGGTTCGCACTCGTCAGCTACAGCGCCGGGATCAGCGCGTGCGGGAAGGGAGAGCAGTGGCAGCGGGCCCTGGTGCTGCTGAGCGAGATGCGGGAGGCGAAGCTGGAGCCCAGCGTCATCTCTCCTACGTGGCTGCGGGCAGCGCGTGCGGCAGGGGACACGGATCAAGTGTCGAACATCGGCCTCGGCGGGCCTCTGGCGCGGCCTCGGCGGGCCCCCGGCGCCGGGCCCCTGGCGCGGCCCGGCGTGCCTCCGGGCGGCCCGAGCACGCTTCGGGACGCCTTCAGCGAGCGCCGAGATCGGGGCAAGAGCCCCAACGTGGCCCCAGGACGGCCCCAGAGGCCGTCCAGGCGGCTCGCGGCGGCCAAACATCATTGATGCTTCCATGGCTTTTTTGCCAGATTTTCAGGCTCTCGCGATGTCGAGCCAAGAGTGGCCCAAGACGGCTTTTGGGGGGCCCCTCGAATGCTCCAAGGCCGCTCCAGAGCTCCAGCAAGGGCCCCAAGGCGGCTCAGGAGGACGGCCCACGAGAGTCCCAAGACGGCCCGCGAGAGCCCCCAGGAGCCCCCCAACAGGCCCCAAGAGCCGCCGAGCCGCTCGAGAGGGCCCACCGAGAGCTCTGAGACGGCCCAACACTCCCAAGATGGCCCCTGCACGGCCCCAGAGGCTGTCCAGACGGGCCGCGGCAAACGAAATCATTGATTATTCTATGGTTTTTGAATGGTTTCCACCTTCTCGCCATTTCAAGCCAAGACCGGCCCAAGACGGCCATTTCGAGCCAAGACCAGCCCAAGGTGACGTGGACGGAGTCCACGGGTCAGCCCTAGTCTATACTATATGGCCGGAGGAACGGAAGGAAAAAACATCAAATGGCCGGAAACGGCTCCGAGACGCTCCGGAGGCCGCCCCGACGGCCCAAAGACGGCTCCGAGCCGCTCAAAGACGGCTCTGAGCCGCTCAAGATGCCCCGAAGGCGGCCCAGGAGGGCCCCGAGACGCGCAATGAGTCGGCCAAGACGCCCAATATTGGCCCAAGACGGCTCAAGAGCTCCCCAAGACGGCCCAATAGGCCTCCCAAGAGGCCTCCCAAGAGAGCCCCGAGAGGCCAAAATCGTTGATTTCCATTGGTTTTTTTTCCGAGGTTTTTTGCTTCCTCGCTTTTTTTTTTTTTTTTTTTTTTTTTTTTTTTTTTTTTTTTTTTTTTTTTTTTTTTTTTTTTCTTTTTTTTTTTTTTTTTTTTTCTTTTTTTTTTTTTTTTTTTTTTTTTTTTTTTTTTTTTTTTTTCTTCTTTTTTTTTTTTTTTTTTTTTTTTTTTTTTTTTTTTATCTTTTTCGGCTTCCCGACGTTCCGAACCCCCCCCAGAGGCATCCAAGACCGCTCAAAGACGGTCGAAGAGGTCCCCAAGAGGACCCCAAGACGGTCCAAGAGGGCCCCAAGACGGTCCAAGGCGGCCCCAGGACGGCCCCAGAGGCGCCCAAGACAGGCCAACGGGACCCCAAGATGGCCCGAAGAGCGGCCCAAGACGGCTCCGAGACGGGCCCACAGGGCCGCCAAGTCAGCTCAACAGGCTCCCAGAGGCTGGCCCCAGGCCGCCCAGGGCCACCCAGACAGGCTCGGACACACGCCAAGAGAGCCCCAAGAGGCCCATGCCGGCCCGACAGGTCTCCAAGGTGCTCCGTGAGACCTCCCTGGAAGCTTCCCCAGAGAGCCCCGAACAGGAAAAAACATTGCTTTTCATTGTTTTTGGCGGGTTTTTTGCCGTGCTCGCCTTGTCGGCTTCCATACGATCCACGACGGCCCAAGACGTTCCCAAGACGCCTCCAAGATGGCCGAAGATGCCCCCAAAAGAGCCCCAAGACGGGCCCACAGGGCCTCCAAATCGGTTCAACAGGCCCCCAGAGGCTGGCCCCGGGCCGCCCAGACAGGCTCGAACACACGCCAAGAGAGCCCCAAGAGGCCCAAGCCGGCCCGACAGGTCTCCAAGATGTTCCGTGAGACCTCCTGGGAAGCTTCCCCAGATGGCCCCGAGCAGGAAGAAATATATTGATTTTCATGTTTTTTTGCTGGGTTCTTGCCGTGCTCGCCTTTTCGGCTTCCACACGATCCACGACGGCCTCAGACGTTCCCCAGGCGCCTCCGAGACTAAGAGGCCCCCAAGAGAGACCCAAGACGGGCCCAGAGGGCCTCCAAGTCGGCTCAACAGGCCCCCAGATGGGCCCCAGACGCTCAAGATTGGTCCAAGATTGGCCCAAGCCGGCCCGAGAGGTCTCCAATGTGCTCCGAGAGACCTCCCGGGAAGCTTCCCCAGAGGGCCCCAAGCAGGACAAAACATTGACTTTCGTTGCTTTTTGCCGGGTTTTTGCGGTGATCGCCTTCTCGGCTTCCAGGCGATTCAAGACCGCCCAAGGCGTTCCCAAGACGCCTCCCAGACGGCCGAAAAGGGACCCAAAGAGAGCCCCAAGACAGGCCCAGAGGGCCCCAAGTCGGCTCAACAGGCCCCCAGATGGGCCACACACGCTCGAGATTGGCCCAACATTGGCCCAAGCCGGCCCGACAGATCTCCAAGGTTCTCCATGGGACCTCCCCAGAAGCTTCCCCACAGGGCCCCGAGCAAGACAAATACAGGCCAGGAGCCTCCGAAGACAGCCCCAAAGAAGACAGCCCCAAGAGCCGCCCAAGACGGTCCAAGACGGCCCCCAGATCGCCCAAGAGGCGCCCAAAACAGCCTAAGACGGTTCCGAGACGGCCCGGACGGCACCGACGAGAGCCCAAGAGGGCTTCCAGAGTCCCCCTCGAAGCCGAGGGGTTCACCGCCATGTGGACAGCTTTTCAGCAGCATCCCCGCCGCTCCCCCAAGAATGCTCTCGGCCAGATGTCGTGGACGGAGTCCACGGGTCAGCCCTAGTCTATACTATATGGCCGGAGGAACCGCGTGCCGGAAGGAAAAAAACATCAAATGGCCGGAAACGGCTCCGAGACGCTCCGGAGGCCGCCCCGACGGCCCAAAGACGGCTCCGAGCCGCTCAAAGACGGCTCCGAGCCGCTCAAGATGCCCCGAAGGCGGCCCAAGAGGGCCCCGAGACGCGCAATGATCCGGCCAAGGCGCCCGAGATTGGCCCAAGACGGCCCAAGAGCTCCCCAAGACGGCTCAATAGG